AAGATCGGTCATTCGCACGTCCTAAATCGGCATGGTGGAAGAGTGCCGTGCAGCCTGGAAGTGTGTGGTTTAGGCTAAAACATCTCTGTGGTAGGGCAATCTGAGCTCAACAAGATGTAGTTCACTGGTGGCTTTCACTGCCATGCCTCATAATCACCCATATGCCACAAATAAATCTGCATGGACATTATATATATATATATATATATATATATATATATATATATATATATATATATATATATATATGCCCATGGCTCGCAGAGGCCGCGGACTCATGCCATGGACGTCTTCTCGTGGCGACCATTGAGTGGGAGTTGTGATAAACCTTTCTTTCAGCTAAGAGCCAGGACACAAAAGATCAGTTTTACACTCGGTTGTCTTCCTTGATACGGTCCGTGCCGAGGAGCGACTGGCTATACTTACTGGGCGATTTCAACAGACGCGTTCGGTGTGATGCTGCAGAGTTGACAGACTTCATCGGGCCGTATGGTATTGACAGAGCCGATGAGAACGGGAATCGGCTGCTCTTACTGTGCGCCACTCATAGCCTGAAGAGCGCGGTTTGTACTGTTTGCGAACGATAGAACTACTTCGACGCACCCACGGAGTGGTCACACCAGTTCGATTATGTCATTGTACGCCAGCGTGACATGAGTGAAGTGCGCATGACACGTGTGCTGAGTGGAGTAGTGTGGCACTGATCACAAGTTGGTGCAGACCAAATCGCATATATATTTTCGTCAATCCATGTATTGATCGCCTTCCGTGAATCGGCGCAAATTCAGTGTTCTTTTCTTAGGTACTGTTCCGAAGAGAATGGAACTGCAGAAAAAAAGGCACCGGCAGTACGCCGGCACGCAGTACCGACGCATCGCTGCCGCGCAACCACCACCAGTCGCGCATGGGCTAAGCATACATAGAAAGTTGCCCGGTCCCTCCCGCAGGTTCGAACCCGCGACAGGCTTGTGATCCTTTAGCCTACAGACCGGAACGGAACTGTAGAAGACGATGGTTACTCGCTTTGACGATGTCGGCTCCGTCGCTTTAGTCGGGGACCTGTGGTACCACATCAGACAACACGTGACTGGTGCAGTCGAAGAAAAGATCGGGCGCGCAAACTATAAGTTACCCGATGGGTTTGATGACACCAGTACAGCCATTGGTCTATTGGTGTCGGCAAAGAATGCAGCATTCGCTGCACATGTGGATGACCCTGCCGACTTGAGAGTCAGTCTCGCAAACTTCGACGGAGATTGACCCGAGAGCTCCGTTGCAACAAGAATGCACGGTGGACGGAGGTGGAACAGATGGAATGCTACGCTGAACGCTGCCAAAATAAAAATCTCTTTGACTGCTTGGAGGCATTGTATAGACCCGCCTTGTAGCAGTTGAGAACGCTGGTGGATGCTACTTTAGTCATTGCCTGCACACAGACTGCAGAGCTGACGAAAACACTTCGACTGTCTCCCGAATGGGATATGTTGCATAGACAGCAACAACAAATTGTGAGGGGCGGTCTTGGTGACACCCTAACGCTCAACAGGAAACAGAGAACACTCGCTCAACTGGAAAAGGGTAAGTGCGCCGGAGCCGACAGGATAAGGCCAGAAGTGTGGAAACACGGTGGACCCGCGCTGCTACAAGCGCTGTATTACTTGGTGGGAGGCGTGTGGCTTGAAGAACAGGTGCCAGATTGGCTGAAGGAGGCTCTTTTGTTACTACTGTTCACGGGCAAAGGGGACAAGCAATCTGGCAACAACTATCGTGGTATCAACTTGCTAAATTGCGTCGGGAAGGTGACTGCTCGAATCCTGTTCAACTGTCTCGTCACTCTGGCCGTTGAACCAAACGTCGCGGAACAGCAATAGGGATTCCGTTCGGGCCGCAGCGCTATAGATATAGTGTTCGCGGCATGTTAATTGCGGGAGAAATGCTATGGTCGAGACTAGTCATTGTACTCGCTGTGTATAGACTTCCCCAAGGCATTTGACATGGTGAACCGCGAGTCACTGTAGCTGCTTCTGGGATGCTTGCAGGGTGATATGCGGGCGAGGGTGGAGCTGTGTGGACAAACTTCGGCAGATTTTGACGCTGCTTCTGGTGTGAAGCGAGGCTGTATCTTAGCCACAGTCTTGTTTAATATTTACCCCATTGAAATGATGTACTGTGCATTTAATGCTTGTGATTACGGTGTTCGCATGGAGCACCGTATAGATGGTGGGTTGCTAGACATCCATCGCTTCGGGGCGAGAATCTCTTAGTGCGCAAGACAATCATCCGGTGTTGTTTGCCGACGACTGCGACTCGCACACACTACCAACATAGGTTAGACTGTTTTTCAGCAATCATTAGGAATGTATTGAGTGCTGTTGGCGATACACCTGAGGTGGCTCGGACGTATCCGTTGTATGAGTTCGACAAGAATACCGAAACACCTCCTATATGGCTAGCTTAGAACAAGGAAGCGGAAGGTGGGCAAACCGAAGGTACGTTAGCAAGACCAATGTGAGATTATCACAAAACAATGTTGAGCTTGTGTTGGGAAGCAACAGCAGCGTATAGCCGCTAATGGTGTGAGCACATTAAGAATGCCGTTACCCAAGTGCCTCAGAAAGGGACATTGCATTAGGTCGAAAAACGGCGGTTGTAGAAGTGAAAAGCACCAATGGAGCTCACCGACGTTAAGCAAGTGTTGTCGTGTGTCATTCATCATACACGTCAGCTAGAGGTGGTAAACACATGCTATTGTGCAGCGATACACGAGAAACGAAGAAAGATGCAATAGACACATGCGAGCAGAGCCACCAGTAACAGATGGGCATTGTACCGAGGAACTGACAGCCGGCTATTGCGAAGCGAAAAATTATGTTGTGTCATGCGGTCTGGGTTCCTTAGCCAAGCCGCTCTGTTAAGCCATCAACGTGGCCACCAGGGACTAATAGCAAAAAGGCAACAAATAAGTTGGATCGATAAGTATCGGCGCTTGGTACGTACGGTGCGACCGTTTCCATTTGAGTTAGTACCCCAAACCAATAAAGTGGTAAATGTCGCACATGTGCCATATCATCACTGTAGTTGGTCTGTGCGTGTGGTTGTATGTTTGTTTTCTCGCATTTTAAGTGTTTGTTAATTGATATTCCCGGTGTGGCTGCACTTGATGTGCATGTTGACAAGGTGTCTACCTGTCTATTACCCCCTACATCGTCCATACTGGCTCTAGGAGACAGTTGGTCGTTGTTGGAGGGCACGGGGTGCACGGTCCTTGTGGCCGTGCTAGGCTCGAAGAGTGGTTCCGTGCACTCAGTGTGGAGCAGACCACAGTCCAGCCACCGCCTTGTGTGCGCTTGATTCCTCAAATTATATATATATATATATATATATGTATATATATATATATATATATATATATATATATATATATATATATATATATATATATATATATATATATATATATATATATATATATACGGAAACAACAAGCGCCGATGGATTCTAGGCCATCTACGTCGAGCGTATGGTGCAGTAACACATGCGGTCGCCAGTGCCTGAGCCAAGCGGGTTTGGTAAGCCACCAGCTTTGCCACGTGGGGCCAGGAGTTAAAAAACGACCAGCCAAGTGATTATCAAACCATAATCAGCACAGCTTTTGGTGGGTGCGCTGCGACCGCCTCCATTCGATTTACTAACCCAAGCCAATTAGGCGTGTGCCGCATTTTCGTTGCAGTTGATCTGTACGTGTGCCTGCATGTTGAGTTTCTTGCATTTCAGGAATTGGTTGTTGACTGATAGCCCCGGTCTGGCTGCGCTTGATGTGAAGGTTGACAAGGTGCCTAATTGTCGAAAACTGCTACCTCTATTACTGGTTCCAGGAGATTTATTCCTTACTGAGGGAGACGGGTACACAGTTTTCGTGGCAGGATGGTTCTATCTAGTGTGAAACGGGTTACGGGCCAGCCACCGTCTTGTGCACGTCTGGCACGAATATTTCCCCCTGTTCATCGCATGAATGATGTGCCTGTTGTGGGACTGTGGACCGACTCCGTTGATAAGACGTGGCTCCCATCCGCATGCCTTGCGGTTTTATTATTTGGGTTTCCAGTGGTCATCGGGTGTGGATGGAGCTGTGAATGATACAGCGCAAGCCACCTATGGTCCATCAGTAGGCGTAGGTGTGCTGTGGCTATTCGCAGTCGCAGTGACAAGCAAATCCGAAAACAGATGCCGTAGGCCATATACAGTGTCTAGCAAAAAAGCAACAGTGGTGCAGAGTTTTAAGTCACACACATGTCACACATTCAGCTTTGAAATTTTTATATAGGGCGTAAAGTAAAAAATGAATCCATAGTACATCGTCAGCACCATTGACTGATGTTACACAACAGCAGCAGCATAACAGAGGAAACTTCTAACTACTGGAAGTCCGCGCTGTTGGTCCCCAAACTGGAAGGCGATCAGAATTAAAGGACGCGAAATGTGAGGTCATTTTCACATGATGCCTTTCCGTGCCATTGTTTTTCAACGGAGCTAGCTTTCTAATCGTGTCCAGAAAGCACTGAGAATGTGTGATGAAGATGGCCCAGCTAATGCATACGGTCCAAATGAAATTCGCGGGTACATTTCAGCGATCCAAATAGGAAAGTACGACAGTTGCATACGATTAATTTTCAGCGTGCGAGTATTGTTGATAGCGAGCTGGATGCAATTGGCACTGGGCCGCGAAACTGGGCCCATGGTTTGATTCTAAACAGGATAACAAGTTGTCTTTTTGCGACGCCTACGTATCGTATGCACCGGGCATTAATTGGCGTGGAGGAAACCGAGCACCCGAGTGTTAGCAAACAGAGAACGCATGCTTTGGAATAATCTTGGCAGATGGTGAAATCCTAAGGGATGAAACTAATCAGGTAGATGCACATTGTGTGTGAGGATGTGCAACAAATAGGACAGCCAGATCGTGGGCAGAGAAGGAAAAGAAAATAAGGTCGAGCACTCACCTTGGGCGCAAATGAATGCGTTCTTCTGTCGATATCCGTCGACCCAGTTGGCGTGGATGTAATTGCGAACCAAGTCAACTGCCGCTGCTGGAGCGGAAAGAGTTCGATGAAGAAAAGCTTTCGATGTGATAGGAACGGGATGCAGTGGTTCTGAGCACTTCGAAAGCGGTAATCGAGTGGCGATTGATCGGAGGCGTACACGACTACTATCGTAGCATATGACATCACAATATCGGTTCTTCTGTCGATTTTGTGAGTGTCTATAAAAAAGAAATGAATGCTTAATAGTAAGAGATCTAAGAGAGGCGCATTCAATACGGCTGATGATAAACCATAAGTGAACCTCGATTAAACGTTGATTTTCACAGCGATGCAGATGGGAAACGCCAAAACATCGTACCCGATTGGGCAAAGACAGAAAAATTCAAGAAAATCTTGGCCCGGTTATTAGTGACGCACTCTACCAGCTGTCGGTGAACAAAGATCAATGTCCGCAGTGTGGCGCCTGTTCAAACGCTTAATAAACTGGAGTAATCGAAATCTGCGGTGAAGTCAATGCACTCAACCACCCAACTGTCCAGACAGCGGAAGTCTGGGTTAACGCCGGCCAGTGAACGGCGACCGCCGGGCAAAAGAAGCGGAAGAAGCAACGGAACCTGCTCGATCAACCTAAACCAATAAAACTACAGGTGACGAAATGTGTGACACAGGAGATCAATTGGCATGGAATCGAATGGGTGAAAAGGTCGCTCGGCAATCGTACAGCGATGTGTACTGTTCGAGGCATGACTTGCATGCCATTTTGGGAGTTAATTCCTGCCAAAATCGTAGCATACCATTGGTAGCAAATGCAATAAACAAAGAGTAACGATCACTCCCCAATGAATGCAAGGTAGCGAAGATGGAGTGTGGGCAGAAATATATGCAGTTATACAACGGATGTCACTTATCCACTTCTCATGGCGCCTCATGGGCTCTGATAAGACCGAAAGATCACAACCATTTGCTACAACAGCGAGTGCATCGGAGAACAAAAACACCTAGCCGTGCAGCTGTCTAGATGGTATCCAGCAGTAAAGGGAAATAGGTTGGTAGATAGAAGCATCATTGACTGCGCGGCATTCGATAGAACTGTGAACATCATCTAGTGTCAGTAAGTTCAGCATTACAGAGTCGCAGAGAATTTGATTTCCCGCACCAGATGGATTGTTCCCCATTGATGGCCCAGTGCTTCTATGTTCGCTTAGTTCCACTTCTCGAACTAATAAAGCGTTTTTCGCTCTTTAGACCGCTACATTCTCAAACGAGTTCCGTTTTACATACATTTCATTTGCATGCAAGTTGTCTCAAGGTCACATTTTCATCAGTCTTCTATTAACAGTACTTTTACGGTTGTCAGTTTCCGCCTGCTGTTCGCACGTTGCAAACCTAGTCGTGAGTTCAGTCTTATACATTCTTCTACCCTATAGAACCACGGTTACAGGATTACACTGCAAGTTCTACCCCAACCGTGCGTATAGTTTAGGTTTAGAAATAGAAGTAGCATTCTTTATATGCAATCCGTTTGACGCAAGTAGATTTCACGCAGTCCCGTCATCATCAGCACCGTCACTACCTCCCCCATCACGGTCACCTCATACTAGCGTTTTGATGTTGCATAATCATAAAGTATAGGATAACACCACTACCAAAGAATGGAAAGAGCGAAGGGGGACTTAATGCAAAAGCTAGAATCCTCTGAGCAAACATTTAGCTCATTTCTTTGCAACATACGTTCGCAAACAACTGGCAACCATGCGAAAAAATGCGGTGACGATGAGACAACTTCCTTGCGATATTCACTGCCCAGCGTCATAGTCAACCTCACCACAAGCATAAGTGAATATCTTACTCTGAACGGGTGTTCCGACTAACGGACAACAGTGGACGTGTAGTTAAAGCCAGTGGTAAACCAAATTCGGTAATACGTTGGAATGTGCCAGAGAGATTCGATGGTTTGTGTGTGAGCTCCAGTCGTTGGATCCACAAAGTTTTCGGTATGATTAACCGTTTGATGAGTATAACTCATGCCAATCATCGATTCAATGCCTTGGTATGATGTCCACATATCGGAAATGATAATTGAGCCGGGAACGATGCAGGCCTGGATTGTGTCCAGCAGAGTGGCCGCAGTTCGATCTGGCACTGCATACAAGAACACTTCTTTAGTTCCCGGCAAATCCCTCCGAAAATCCACTGCTGGGGAAGGACTCGCCCTGCATGGTTTTTACGACGTGATATTAGGGTTTCATCGATCTCGACATGTAGACCTGGGCCGCCGACAATCGTTGGAGTCTGCAAAAGCTGCCAGGCGCAAATTTCACGCAGAAAGTTCTTCCAGTCGACAGCGGTCGCGTGGTCAATAGATAACTCCTCTGAGCAGAATTTGATTGTTGTCAGATTTTTGGACCAGCAATAAATGAATAAGATTATTGTCCTGAAATCCATCCTAGACGCTGCAGCCAAGTTCCCTTTCGAAGACCGATTTCTTGCCGACACTGTCGGGAATCACAGATGATGAATCACTCCATGGCTTTGCAAAATACGTATTGCTGTTTCCTTGTCATGAACGACCGCCGAAAGCGTCAGAAAGTTCATGTCAGGTTTTACGTGCGAACGTAGAAACCTTTTGGACAAAAATGACCTTAGAAGCGGATAAGGAGTGTTTTTATGGGGCACGTTCACATGCATTACGTACACTGGAGCTGGCAAACAGTGGCGGGGCTCAACTTTTCACGCGTGCCCTTTTTGCACTATTGGTGGGGCTTGACTTTTCAGGTGTACCCTTTTGCTGGCAATTTTTGCGCGTGCTCTTTTTGCATTAGTGGCGGGGCTTAACTGGAAAAGATCCATACGTTGGATCAAGCACAGGGTGGGTTCCGTGTGTTGCAACGTAGAAGGCAAGATGGACCGATAGCACCAAAAGTATAGCCGATCAAGTTCATTATTCACAGTCAGATGGACGATTGTCTACTTAAACCTCACGTCATCTGACATCGGGTTAACAATTGAAAGTGCTTCTTTGATAAAGGTAGCACGTACGCGAAAAACTGAAATCTATTCTGCTTCACATATATTTGCCCAACAAACTGACCAGGCCATCACTGCCTAGCACTGGACTGCGTTGCAGCACGCTAGTGCAAACTGGTAAGAAAATGCTTTGCAGGTGACGACGAGCAAATAAATGAAGATGTCCGATGAGGTCAGGTTGAAGCGGCCAAAATGAAATGCAACAGAGGAGAGCAGTCATCATTATGGTTCTGTATACACCTTCGCTAAGATCCGAGACAACCGGTAGCTGGCACCAAAGGCATCACAACTACAACAGGGCAGTTGAAGCCTTGCAGTCAAGTTCAGCAAACACAGGTCCGTTACTGTAAGTACAGGGTTACCACGAAGTCCCTGGTCATTGTTCATAACTGATGTTTTTTGCGATACCATTTATTAGTTAATATTTGCACATTTATCATAATATTTATAGCATATATGTGCGATACTTCTGTCTTTCTATCTTCAGGTATACATTTGAAAAATGACCGACACAAGTCCCTACACCATTGAAGAAAGGCTCATAGCTGTTGTTTAGGTACATGATCGAGTGCTAGAAAAAAAGAACAATGACACGTTTCCACCAAATTCCAGGAGCGTTTCAAGAAGCCTGCACCAAAAAGGACACATTATTGGCATGGAAGAATAAAACATTTGCATCTGGATCTGTGCTGGATGCCCCTCACTCTGGACGCCCTGCCTCCCGAATGGAGCACGTGGAAATCATTCAGCAGTCAGTTTTCAATTCTCCAAAGAAATCGACTCGTAAGAGGTCTGCTGAATTGCATATTCCCCGCTCCACACTCCAAAAGATACTCAAAACTAACCTAGGCATGTCAGCATTCAGGCCAATGCAGGTCAGTGAACTGTCTGATATTGATCGACAGAATCGAATGGAAGCGTGCCAACACCTTCATTGGGCCATTTTTTCGAAAACTCAGTGAATCAGTACACCTACCGAGAAATGTCGGAGACCTGATTCATTCCACAATCGGTTTCAACTGCAATCATGCATACAGCCATTCTACAGCAAGATGCCGTCGCAACGAGACTGGACCTTGACGTGGTGCGACGGTTTGCGTACCTCATTGATCTATTGAGCTATACTGGGTGGGGACTCCGGGCACCTTGAGAGCTACTCCTACCAGGTTGGTCAGTGGTCAGAGGTCAGACAAACTCAGTCTCCTGGTCCTCCAGATTGGGGGTTTGAAATGAGATGTCGTCCATTTCCGTAAAACTGAATCATTGCCACCTCCCCGCTGCTTTGCGGACTGGCTTTTGAGCCAAGGGCTTTAGACGAAGACCCTATTCGTCCTCCTGTCTAGGTCTGGGCGCCCTGGCAGTATCTCACCCCACATACAACCATGACATTTTCTTCAAACATAAACTTGGCGTTCTCCTGTAGCTGGTCAGCGATGGACCCAAATTGACCACATAGACATAAGGTGCAGATGGCGTGGTTCCATCCTGGATTGCCGCTCGTACTGGAGTACCTGTGTCGACTCTGATCATGCAGCATAACAGCCTTGGACAGGCTATTCAGCCAAAGGCTCGGGGTGGTGTCCCCTAAGTCAACACCCTACTTCGGCTTGGGCAACCGGGTAGTATTTCGCCCTCTGAGGAAACCATGGACATTGTTGTGTTGTTTTTTATTTTACTGTTTCTGTACCTTCGTTTGAATCCCATGGTTTCTGATGGCATTATGTCTGTCAGCAGACTTTTGCAATGTATATATATATATATATATATATATATATATGCCTTGGTACGCTGTCGTTTCTCCATGAACTTTACCGGGAGGCGCACCAAGCGTTTCCTCCTGTTGTCAACTGAGAAATTGTCTGTCCTCGGTCAGACAAGCCTATCAAGAAGCACTGCATAGCGAACTCTCGCTGTCTTGCCCTAATGACACTGAGCTTCAGTGGAATAGGATCTCGGCCGCCATGCACGACGCAGACGCATCTGCTTGTGGTACTATCAGTCGTCACCGCACCAGTCACTGGATATCCGAGAGGTCTGTGAACCTGTTAGAATCTAGAAGACATCTCCCAGCTAGCTCTGAACATAATGTGACCAGACGGGCTATTAGGCGTGAACTAAAGCAGAGCCTACGTGCTGACAATGAAGTCTGGTGGACCATTCGGGCTCAAGAAATGGAGGAGGCAGGAGCAGT